CTTGGAGGCGATGTGGGCGGAGCTGAGGGTGGGGCTAAGGGAGGGGCGGGGCCGGGCGCGTGCGGCTGCGCTGGAACGGCTGGAGCACGGGAGGGCCATGCAGAGGTGCTTGAGACCCGACATATGACTCCTTTTCCTCAGCGCGGAGGCCATCTTCCACACTTTTGGTCTCTCTCGGTAGGTCCTTCGTCAAATACTTTATTGAGCGTCCATTCCTTGGCGCCGTCTCTGTGGCAGGCTCCGTCTGTCCTAGGCTCTGGAAGAGCCGAGAACGAACAGCCCTGATCTCTCAGAGAGCAGTGCAAGTGTCACAACCACGGAGCCTAGGGAGACAGTGACGCCGTCAGGAGCCCTGCGACGCGGCGTGCTTACTCATTGACATTGACATCGACAGCTCTGAAGCGGGGAGGGCGTGGCCTGTGACGTAGGGACCCTGGGGGAGGAGGGCGTGGCCTTGACGTCATGGACCTGGGGACTGGGATGGCGCAGGCTGTGACGCCAAGAAGCCTGAGACGAGGCTGGCGCACACAGTGACACAAGCAATTCTGAGACGGGGAGGGCGTGGCCTGTGAAATCGGGGACTCTGGGAGGATGGAGCGTGGCCAATGACGTCAGGGACCCTGAGACAGGACGGCGCAGACTGTGACGTCAGGAGGCCTGCGACTGGACCGGTGTAGAGTGACATCAGGAAGCTGGCCATGGAGAAGGAAGACTGTGATGTTGGGAACCCTTTCACAGGGAGGGTGTAGACTGAGATCAGGAACACTGCGATGGGACGGGTGTAGACTGTGACGGAGAGAGTGCAGACTGACGTCAGGAACCCTGCGACTGATGGCGCGGGCTGTGAGGTCAGAAACCCCGGGAAGCGGAGGGTGAAGACTGTGACCTCGGGAACCCAGCGACAAAGAGGGCGAAGTGTGTGATGTCATGAACCCTGTTATGAGAATGGTGCAGACTGCGACATTAGGAACATGTTGTGGGGAGGGCGCACACTGTGACGCCAGAGACTGCGACTGAGGACGCAG